TAAGGAGGAAAAAATATGGATTCTCATTCACAGTGTAGTGCTGGGAGAACATTAATGTATTTAGAGTTCCTTAGAGGAACAGAATCATATAATTATGGAAGGTGGTTTATTGGGCTTACAGGCTTAGAAGCCAGATAGTCCACAATGGCCATATGAGTGCTGGAGAGCCAGAAGATCCAGTAGCTGCCAAGTCCAAATGGCTGGAAGCCACAAGAGAGATCAATGGCAAAGTGCATGTGTGAGTCTAAAGGCCTACAAGCTCCCTTGAGGGTCACTGGTATAAGACTGCATGGAAAGGCTGAAGAAACTGAAGTCTGATAACCACAGAGGATGGCAATAACAAAAAAATCCACCCATTCAAGCAGAAGGTAGCTTTTGAAACATGTACCAACTTCTTCCTTCTTTCCCTTTTTTTCATCCAAGCTACCAGCCTAGTAGATGGTGCCACCTACAAATGGGGTGGGTCTTCCACTTCAGCTTGGTGACCTACATGCCACTCATCTCTAGAAACACCCTACAGGAACACCTAGAAGTGTATTTTACTAATTTATGAGGTTTTTAAATCCAGTCAAATTGCCATTGCACAATTAAGTTTCCTCATCTGTAAAATGAGAAAAATGAATTGGTCCTTTCTGAGATCTCTTATGGTCTGAAAATGTTTCCAGATCCTTTATACCCAAATGAAACAGGTTAAAAAGTGACAAAGAAATAATATCCAATATCTACATTTTAAGCACTCTGGTCCCTCCTGGCCTGGTTACTTGAGTAACTTTAATTTTCCTATTTGTGCATAGTACTTTACTGTCCATCCTCTCCCTCAAATATTTACTCATCTTGGTCTCTTTCTCACCCTGGTCATAAAAGACTTTAGTCATTTTTTAAAAACAGGGACTAGACATGTTAAAAAATCTGTTTGCTGACCAAGATGAATCTACAAATTAATTTTTTAAAAGCAAGGTTTTTTGATATATCTCACCCAATACAATAAATTGAGTTATGGATTTCCAAGTGTGTCGTACAACTTTGAAAAAACTACTTAAAATGTCGGTTTTTCTCATCTATTAATTTAGAAGTTTGAAGTAGGCAGTTTGAGTTTTCTTCTAGTTCAGTTGGAGAAAACAGGATTGGAGCACACAATTTTAAGTATCTAACTGATTGGATGTTAATGTTTATGTACATAAACCATGGCTAAACTTCCATTCAACAAATCTGTGTCATTCAACATTGATGTAATAGTTAAGCTGAGGGTTGGAGGGGACAAGGATGTCCAGTATCACCACTCCTGTTCAATATAGTTTGTGAAACATTAGCCACAGCAATTAGACAAGAGAAAGTTCTTGGAATAAAGATAGGAAATGAAGAAGTCAAATTGTCATTATCTGCAGATGACATGATACTCTATATAGAAGACCCTAAGAACACCACCAAAAGTCTTCAAGATTAATAACCAAATTCAGTAAAGTAGCTGGATACAAGGTCAACACACAAAAATCAATAGCTTTCTGTACATGAACAACAGACTCACTGAGAAGTAGGGCAAAGAATTCCTTTCACAATAGCATCCAAAAAACTGAAATATCTAGGAATCAACCTAACAAAAGAAATCAAAGACCTCTTCTCTGATAACTATAGCACTCTGAAAGGAGAGATTGAAGATGATATCAGAAAATGGAAAGACATCCCCTGCTCCTGGGTAGGAAGGATCAA